GGGGGGCGGGTCGGCCATGTTGCGCTCTGTGGCACGCTGGGAGCTGTAGTTCCGAGTGTGTTCGCCGCCCCTGCCCCGCGGAAGTGACTTGGCCTGTCCGTGAGCCGCTCCCATGAGAGTTCGCGGCGATTGTCAGGGGCAGCGGATAGTTGATAGTTTGATAGTTGTTTTTGTTTTCCCCATCTCTGGTAGGCATGGCTGTCCCCAGGGGCTGGGGCTGTCCCAAGTTGACAACAGGGGTGGGGTTAAAGCAGGCAGGGAAGGCGTGAAAAGCTGTGGGGGCTCCTGGTAGCAGCAGCTTTGCCCGGGTTGGGGCTGGGAAGGCAGCTGCTCTGAGAAGTGGTGCTACAAGGAGGGCTGTGCTGAGCTTTCCTGTTACGGGAGCAGAAGGGAAAGTCCCCAGGGAAACATGAACAACGCTGTGGTTCTCCAAGGACCATTGTGCTACGATGGCACAGGAGACCCGGGAACAGCCCTTCACTCCCCACAGCAGCCCCAGAGACACCATGTAACCGCTTCCCAACATCACCGTGTTCAGGCACCTTTTCCTGCATGCGGAGAGGCACGTGTGCAGAGAGTCCCAAGTCACTGTCAGGCACCTATTGGAGCCACTTTTATTTTCTTCACAGACACAGGGTCTTTTCTTGCTGCTTCCATGGTGCTCTGTGCCCTGATGTGCCCTGAGATACACCCTTCTCACTGTCCTCTGCTCTGCCTGAGTAGGTCAAAATGGGTGTGCCGCTGAAAACTAGGCTAGGATGTCTTGGCTACCGGGTATAGGACAAATAGGAGGGGGATTGGGGGCCAGGATATGAAAGAACATGTGGATGAGAAACAGCTGCCCTGGAAGCTTGAGATGGGGGGCTGTGACTCAAGAGGTGTAGAAGTAGTGGGGCAAGGTGGTTGTGAGGGAGGTGTGTTATAAATGGCAGTACAGCGGTGAAGAGCAATTTCACGCATGCTGTTGACTCCTGGCACTCTTGTTTTGCAGATGCTGAAGAGGGATGTGGCAATTTTAAGGAACACTGTAGAGGATGTGACTTCTGTTGTGGATGGAATCTGATGCCCAGCACTGTGGAAGGTAAGTTGAGGGGAAAAGGCTATTGGGCGAGGTGGTGTGCGGGGGCGGGGTGGAAGTGCTAGGCAGGGGGGCTGAAAATGAGAGCAGCGAGGAGGGCTGTTCGAGGTCAGTCGAGATCGGGGTCTAGCCTGCATGATGTGAGCATGTGCCAGGCAGGGCAGTTCCAGCCTGTGTCTGTGTCATAGCATAGTATGCGTAGTCTGTGTTCTGTGTCCTATTCCTTGTTCAGGTCTTGACACCCTATAGCTCTTTGTGTTTAAGGAGCACAGCATGCACCTCTGTAGCTATCCCGAGGGTCTCAAATGCCTTATCG